TGGGGGCAGTCCGGCAGTCCTGGGGCTCGTGGTGGTCTGATGATCAGAGCGCCCATGGAAGAGCTCTCGCAATTGGGACTGGCGATGAGTGAGCAATCTCATCAAACTGTTTGGGATCTTCGGCTGACATCCAATTATGCTTTCAAACTCAATATTCATTACACTTGTCAATCTATGTTGGCCGAGGATCAATGTACAGGCATGAGCACGCCTCGCGAGAGCGACGGTCAGTGGAGGCGGAAGACCTTAATTGCCAGTTGCTCGTATCCAAGTGCTTGTGTACTGCAAAATGACATCATGCCGATCGGGTTTCCTTGGTTGTTTCATCCCTTTCATTTGTCCTCCTGTTTCACATTCGGGCACGGGGGGTGTAGTTTGCAACGTGATGTATTTATCAACCATGTAAAACCCCAATGCATGAATGTCTCACTAGCGCAGTCTCGCCGTTACGACTGCGCATGGCTCAAGTAAAAAGCGCGCTGTAGGCAGGGTTCATTGTTGACCCTTCCTGGTTGTTTAACCTGTTCTATAGCTTGCTTGGTTGCTTGGTTGGTTGGTTGCTTGCTTGCTTGGTTGGTCGACTGGCTTGTTGGCTGGCTGGTTGGTTGGTTGGCTGGCTGGCTGGTTGGTTGGTTGGTTGGTTGGTTGGTTGGTTGTGTTTTTTGTCGTTGTCGTTGTCGTCGTTGGTGGTGGTGGTGGTTGGTTCGTTGTTGTTTGTTGTTTGCTGTTGGTAGTGGTCGTGGTCGTTTGTCGTTTTTGTTTGTCGTGTGTCGTTTGTTGTTAGTTGTGGTTGGTGGTTGTTTGTTGTTGGTTGCTGGTTGCTTGTTGCAGGTTGTCGGTTGTCGTTTGTATTTTGCCGTGTTGTTTGTTGTTCGTCGTCGTCGTCGTCGTCGTCGTCGTCGTCGTTCTTGTTGTTGCTGGCTTTGCCGCGTTCCCAACCCCAGTGTCCCAGGCCAAGGAGCGGAAAGGCGAGGCAAGGCCAAAGCAAGATGGCGAAGTAGATGCAGTGCAGGCTGGCTGGAGCGGCAATTGGGGTTTTTTTGTTCGCTAGCGAGTGGAACGTGCCTGTCGAGGGTTCAACTTCAGCGCTGTGCCAATCGCCTTCTCCCGAGACGTGTCTTTTGGAACGCTTCCAATTTCATCAGCCCTCAAAGGCTTCCAAGGCCCAAGCCCTCAAATGCTACCCAGCACGGAGTTTCGCTATCTTTCGCGTATTTTCGCGTCATGCAGCACGCCCAGCAGACTTACGTCAGGTTGTGCAACGTGAATTCAGGAGGGTCCGTACTGGAGCCTACGTTGGGCAGCCTGCCGGGGACACTTCCTTGTTCCCAAAGCCAGCATGCCAGGCTAAGGAGCAGAAAGGCGAAGGCAGGCCAAAGCCAGATGGCGGTGAAGTAGATGCTGAGCAGGCTAGCTGGAGCGGCGATTGAAGGGAATTGTTGCTAGCACGTGCCCGCCCAGGCAAAGGGTTACAGGGTTCCAAGTGCCCGCCGAGGCCAATTTCGGCCCCGCTGCTGGAACCCTCTTTTTCTGTACAAACTTCACATTCCGTCAAGCCTCAAATAGCTTCCGAGACCCCCCCGTGTTTTGCTATTTGTTTCGCAGCCTGCCGGAGTGACTTATAATATATTATAGTAGAACGTGTGTGTAACGTTTGCATGCCAACAAACGTGAATTCAGGAGGGTCACTGCTGAGAGCCTACGCCAGGGACACTTCTTTGTTCCAAGAGCCAGCGTGCCAGGCCAAGGGGCAGCAAGGTGAAGGCAAGCCAAAGCCAGATGGCAGTGAGGTGGAGCTGGAGCGTTGATAGGGAGGTACAGGGTTTCAAGTGCCCGCCGAGGCAGAGGGTTCCAGTTTCGGCCCCGCTGCTGGAACCCCTTTTGACTTGTTTCGCAGCCTGCCGGATTGACTTATAGTAGAACGTGTGTGCAACGTTTGCATGCCAACAAACGTGAATTCAGGAGGGTCACTGTTAGAGCCTACGTCAGGGACACTTCTTTGTTCCAAGAGCCAGCGTGCCAGGCCAAGGGGCAGCAAGGTGAAGGCAAGCCAAAGCCAGATGGCAGTGAGGTGGATGCTGAGCAGGCGAGCTGGAGCGTTGATAGGGAGGTACAGGGTTCCAAGTGCCCGCCGAGGCAAAGGGTTCAAATTTCGGCCCCGCTGCTGGAACCTTTCTGAATGCATTCTTCCAAAACAGTGCTCCACTATTTTTCTGTACAAGCTTCCCATTCCGTCAAGCCTCAAATAGCTTTCAAGGCGCCGGAGTGACTTGCAGGCTTGCTTTGTTGAAGCGCCCTTGACAAGAGCGCCCAGCAGACTTATGTCGCGGCTTCCAAAACTAGAACACCCAGTTCCGAGTGCTTTCGGTGCAGCGTTTTCATGACACCATTGATGTGGCAGCCCCACAGCGTCGTGGTTTGCTATGGGCCTGCCGGGGACCCGGGGACACGGAGCTTTTTTTCCCAAATCCAAGGCCAAGGAGAGGAAAGGTGAGGTCAAGCCGACTGAGGCGAGCTGGAGCGAGTGGGGGTAATTGTTGACGCTAGCGCGTGCCCGCCCAGGCAAAGGGTTTCATTTTTGCAGCAGCCTTTGGGCCGCGAAAGACTTCCAAAGAATGGATTCCAATGTAACATTTGTACAAGCTTCGCATTCCATCAACCCTGAAATGCTTCCAAGGCCCAGCAATGTATCCGGATATGACAACCTTTCACAACGGCAGACAACAACACAAATGGCATGAAGGACCATGATTGCGTCGCCTACAAGAGAATCGGCCCGTTTGCAAGACACTTCGGGATGAGCAGCCGTCCAGTATCTGACCCCTTGGGGTACTTTGCCCAAAGGGCCGCGTGACCTGCAGCTTGGAGAGGCTGAATATGTTTCATACATTTTATATGAATAAACTATATATATATATTACGAGAAAGTTGTGGCTACCATGTGCAGGTTGTTATTGCGCAACCAGTTCTTGGAACAGGCTGTTCTGGGACAAGCTGAGACATAAGTGTGTTGGGCGTGCTGCAAAGGCGCAAGGCAAGAAATAAGTGCGAGAAAGAGAACGCTGGTGCCAAGTTCTCTCTCGTCCGACAGTTCGGCTGCGAATGCCCACGAGAAATAAAGTGATTGCTGAGCAGAGTGTTTGGATTGGAGGGGGCAGGTAGTTGCTAGGGGGCAATGTTCCCTTCCGTGTCACATTGCAGGACGCCAGGTCGCATGGTGGACTGACGGTTCAGTATGCAAGCCCGGGCAGCTTGCCGAAGACTTGCAGACAGGGTCATCCGTACAGCCTGCAGGGCCTCGTCCGGCGATGCCCAGAATCCACAGGACGGAAGTGGCTAAGATTGTCGGCCTGCGTGTAAGAAGGGTTGAGGCCCGTGTCCATTTTATTGTCGATCAGCGTGAACCTTTCCAACTGAATCTGTCCTCACGGAGGTCGAAGCAAGAGTCACCAGCAAAGACGCGCAAAGCAGGTTGTGGTTTAAGTCATATCAGACAAACGTCTGTGCTGCGATTGGCCAGCACAAGCGCCAGAAAGATGAGAAAGTTGCAGGCCCCTTTAAGAAAGAGCTTCAATTGGCGCAGGGCGCCATGTGCGCAGCCGTCCAACAGGATGAACGCGCAACAAGCCTGGGGCGTCGCCTAGATCGCAAGTGCCAAGTAAGTGGCAGAAGAGAGCGCGATATGGACTTGTGATCCGCAGCCAAACCCATTATTCGGTGCGTCAAGCACCCAAGCCGTCCGACACACACACACACACACACACACACACGCATTCAGTACACCATAATTTCCATTTGAGTTTACGGTCCCGCCAGGGACACTTCTTGTTCCGAAAGCCATTGTGCCTTGGCAAGGAACGGAAGGATGGTGAAGCCAAGCCACCTGAGCAGGCTGGGCAGCGATTGAGGGTGACTTTCAACTCCTGGTTCCGGATCTGCGCCCACCCGTGCCGTATCTTGATCATCTGGCTGAGGAAAAACCGGATTTTTTCAAGTAAAGGCCAGGAGGGTTGGCAGGTGGCGTCAGCAAGTCGTCACGAAGAATGATTGCAATTGATGGGAACCCTTTTGGGGTGTCGCGTTCTCCTGCAGGGCGTCGGTGATTGCGCGACAGCTGGAATTCTTCGTCGGGCTCCTTTGGCTTTTGCTCGACACCGTGCCGCCGGTGCGTTTAGCCAGGCCAAGGAGGAGGAGCAAAGCAAGGCAAAGAAGCGACAGTCGGGGGTCAAAGTCTAGCCCCGTTCGGCCAACTCATATCTCAGCTGCTCAACTTGCCAAACTTGCTGATCTTTGTGAGGGATGTGGGGATGTCCTTCTAACAGCTAAATTAGGTTTTCATAACAGTTAGGTGGAAGATTCTTGTCCAAATCCCCACTGCGCAACAACCAAGCCTATACTAACCTTGAAGTTTCTGTGGTTTGGTCCGTTGGTAGCCATGTAGGCCGCATGGTCGCAGCTTCAGGCTTTTGTGACCATTTGACAAATGGTTTGCGTTGCCAAGTCCCCCAACTAATCAGGACAGCGCCATGGTACCTTTGCAACACGCCTCACAGCCTCGCAGCCTTATAGCCAAGCTCGGCTGCGCAGCTGCAGCCAGGGGCAAGCGCAAAGGATCAGCAAAGGGCGCCTTTCACATGCTAGTGGCAAAGGGTAAGGTGGCTAAGGTGAGCGCAAGTTTGACAAGCACTGGTAACCAGCACGCCGCCCATGACGCTTTTACGAGCGATCGCAAGCCTTTGTCACACATGCCTCAACTAAGCTCTACAATCCCAAGCGGCCTTGTTTGGCCACAACCCTGAGAGAGTTTAGCATCATTCATCCAACTTTGGCAGCGCTCTCACCGTTTGGATTTGCCAAACCTCAAACCAAATACGAGAGCCAGGTATTGAAAGGCGGCTCAAGTGGCATGTCAAGAGGGCCATGAGAGGTCTCAGGGCAGATCTCGAACCACAACACACAAGCACCAATGGTAAACACAGAGAGAAACCCGTACACCCGCCGTTTTTTGTTTTGGTTTTTCGTTTTTTCGCTGATGCCATGAATGGAGGAGTCTCAGCCCACCCAGCCAGCAGAGGCAGCTGTCGGGGTGCCGGCGCAAGGAAATGAGTTGCTGCAGGTGCGCGGGAAGGGCGCGCCTGGATGCTTGGCAAGCGTGGGGGGTGGGCGGCCGTTTGTGCTTGGAAAGGGGCGGTTCTTCACTTGGGGGGTCGTTTTAAAAGTGGAACCCGTTTTTGGTTGGTCTTGTTGCTTGTTTGGCGGCACCGTTTTTTTTTTTTTTCTGGCTGGATGGAGGGGCTTGTGACCAGGCTTTGGCAGGATTTGGTTTGTGAGCCTCCACTCCCCGGCTTGGAGGACTAGATGTGGCACTGGTTTCCATCCACTCCTTTTGCGAGTCTTTACACGGGGCTCCTTAAAAGATACATTTTGCCCATTTGAAACATGGCTTTTTCCACCAAAATAAAGGGACACCACCATTTACAAGGCAATGTTCAGGTGTATAATGTAAGGATCCCTGTTATTACATGTTGGATCCTAGGGTAGGGTGCGGCAAATGAGCAGACTTCTTTTTGCCGCCGGAGTGAGCGCAAAGAGGATGCGTGGCTCTGGACAGTTGATAGAAGCCTGCGGCCTTTGTCACACAAAGGTTCGGATCATAGCCGTTCCATGGATCGTAGCATAGGGGTTTGTGTCAAATAACAAATAATAATCATCAGATTAAGAAGGAGAAACATTAAAGCAAATGCAAATGGGGGCGGTTTCCGGTTGGCTTCCCTTTTTATCGCCACCCAACCCTTGGCCCAAGGTGGGCACCGGGCCTTGAGCGGGCGCCCCACAGCGGGCCCTCTTGGGGGGGGGGTCGTTCCGAGGCCGGCACCCGCTGGAGGGGGAGCTGGTGGTGGGCCGCAAGGGCCATGTCCAGGTGGAGGACAAGCGGTGCTCCGCCAGGCCCCGCGAACCCAAAATTCGTGAACTCCAGGGTAGACTTAGGAAAAGAGAGGAGAGATAGAGAGATGACATAGACAGGAGATAGGTGGTGAGGTGTCCGGGAGAGAGTTAGGACACTATCCTTTCAATTCCGTGAACTCCAGGGTAGACTTACGTTTAGGTGTTTCCCGTTTGGGGAAGTCAACTGCCCAAAGTGTTTTTTCAGTCCGCTTTGATGTCAAAAGATGGAATTTTGCCGTGAACCGTTGCCGGCTCTGACACCGACTCTCCCTGAAGGAAGTAAAGGGACACAAGGCCATGGATGCGGTTTTCATGTCGCCAATTGTTGGAAGGTCGGCGATTTGCCAGGGAGTCCTAGATTTGCGCTGTGAAACAAAGATCATATCTGGCCAAGGGACCATGGCAAGATGAGTGAGTTGCCATGGCAAGAAATGAATTGCATGACCACGGGTTATCTCCCCATTTCCACGGGGTCCCCAACTTCCCCCGCCAAAGCCTTCGACTAGTGTCGCGGAAGGGTCCGGGTCCGCAGAAAGATGCTTGGTGCTTTCCCCAAGAAACACTAGCCAAGTTCAGGTTCAGGTTACACATGCAACATGACGTTCGACAAACTCCTGTTTCAGGGCCTGCAGCATGGCATCTACGCTTTTTCTTGCACACCCTGCCCCTATAGACTTTCGACTATAGACTATAGACCCTCCGGCTGTGCATCTTTCCCCCCGCTTGCTGAAAAAGCAATATGTTATGTCGTCTGTTCCAAAAAGAACCTTCTCACTTCTCACCTTTGTCCCTTTTAGAGTGCTGCTTCAAAATCTTGCCAGAACGTGGACTGATTCCTACTGAGACTTCCCAGATCTTGCAAATTGGCCCTTTATATATGTATATCTCTCTCACTCTCTCGGATCAAACTGAGGCACCTCCGCATCTTCCAGGCCGGGGATGTTTCGTGTTTTCCTGTGGCAAGAGATCAGGTCACCCGTCAGGCTGGTGGTTTGGATTGGATGGGGGTTGGACTAAAACACCTTGGAGGGAAGCTGAGTTTGGAAGTCCCTTGGCTGTGCTGCGTGGTTTGTGGATGCTTCTTGTGCGTGGCTTTTCAGGGGTTTCCTTCGGCCTTCGACTACGGGTGGCCATAGATCTACTTCCCAGCTATCATACCGTCCTTTCATTTCCAGCTCCTCGCCGAGATTCGAGCTGCCTAGTGCGGCTAAGCCCTGGAAAAAAGCAGGGTGTACATTGAAAACCCGGTTTTTCGCTTAGTTTCACTGAAAACCCTGGGTTCCACAAGTGTAAATTGCACCCCGTATTTAAGCCGTACAAACCCCGCATTCAACCCGTACTAACCCCGCATTTTGCATACTGGTTCTAGAAACCAGGTATTCAATTTTAAACCCTATTTTTTGGCACACCCTGCCTTTTTTCAGGGTTTAAAAGGGAATTTATCACTATTTTTTTCTTCAGGGGTCTAAACCAAATGGCAGATACCATCCCTTCATTTACCAGCTTCGCGCCGCGATTCCGAGCTGGCCCTTTCCGAACTCTTCAGCGGTTGATGTGACCCGTGCGTGCCAAACAGGACGAGCACGGCTTCTTCCTGGAGCAGCTGGGAATGAACCTCGGAGCTCAACTTTAAGCCACAAAGGAGGATGATCCGGCCAATCTCTGGCTTTTCCTTCCCTCAACTTTTCCCAATTCGCCAAAAGGGAGGATGATCCGGCGTCTCTTTATTTGCGCCTTTTCTTTCTCCTCTTATTTCTTTTTGCGTTTTTTTCCCGCTTCCTCCGACTCCTTGGGCCAGGAACGTGTCCTTCGTGAACGGCCTGCGCCTGCAGCAGGGGGACCGGCGCGCGCTGCGGAGCGGCGACGAGATCTCGCTGGTGAACCCTTCGAACCCGAAGCCGCTCGAATTTTTTTGGCGCGAAGAGCCGAAAGGGCCGGGGCTCCTGAAAAGAAAATCATTTTGCCCATTTGAAACATGGCCATGTCCTTGGTGTTTTAATGTTGCATCTGCCTTTGGTGTTTTAATGTTGACCCAGGATTTATAAACCCTAAACCCATCATTAGGGGGGATTGTTCCCTCCAAGAGTGGTCTGAATCCCTACTAAAAGGGGACACTCCCCGGTCAAAAATCAACCAGGGGTTGATTAATCCGGGGTCAACATCAACACCAAAGTAAAGGGACGGTTCCCACCATTTACAAGTTGCAATGTTCAGGTGTATAATGTAAGGATCCTGATCGATCCGCTGCTTTCTGAATTTGGGTGCTTCAAAAGGAGCACACGTGGGCGGATCTTTGGGTTTTCCTTGCCCACTTGCCACCCAGCTGTCCAAACCCAAGCTTCAAGCATTCGAGTCGTTACTTCCTTACTTGTTGCTGGGCCCTTAAGAATGAGGCCTCACGCTTTCTACTTTCGAACTATTCGGGCTTGAGCCAGCTAGCTTGCTGGCTCTTCGAGAAATCCAACCATGCCCCCTGCAAACCCAGCCGGCATGGTGCCTTCTAGCATACCTGGGAAGCAACACCCAGCCTTTGTTTGACTTTGCGATACTTTGCACTTTGGAGACTGGGTGAAGCAATCCGATCCTTCAAACAAGGCTCGCTTCTACTCGACATGGTCCGAAGTTCCCCATTTTTTGGGTAGGCTAACTGCACAATTCCCATATCTGTGCGTTTCTGCGATCATCCTCCTGCCTGTTTGCGTCGCCGGTCTGGAGTCGGTCCGAGCGCCGGTCTGGGCCCCTCAAAAATGGAATGGGGGAGGGGGGTGCTTCTGGAGATCTCCATTTAAGCTCCATTTGCCCTCTCATAGGGAAGGCTAGATAAATGGAATTGGGGACCCCCCCCCCACCCCCCTTCCCCTTAAGGTAGGGGGGAGAGGTCTCAGAAGGAGATCGACCAGCCGCCGGCCGTCTTCATCTTCCGCGCGGGGCCAAGCGAGGCGTTGGAGCGCCGGTCCTTGAAGCGGCCTTTGGAGGAGACCCACCTGGGAGGGACCCTTGGTGTGCTGGCACCGGATTTGACAGAGGAGGAGATTCAGGAGAGCTGGGACATGCGAAGCTTAAGCCGCACTCTCAACGAAAGAGCTTTTTTTTTGGATTTCTTTTCCTTTTTTGTTATTTTGGCTGGTCGCTTCAAAGGTAATCCGCAAATACCCTTACCTTGGGTTATGCAAATCGTCTTGGGAGTGGCTTTCCTATGGGGATTGTGGAGCATCGGCTTGGCCAAGCCTTAGCCAATGTTGGGTGTGTCTGCTTGTGATGAAAAGAGGAAAAGCCGACCATTTCTTAAAAAGTCCAACCTGTTTTGAGCCAACCGCGACTCGCCCATCTGCGCCTATCCACAGGTGTCCTTTTTAGGTTAGTATGGTCAAAAATAGACACTGGTTTAGATGGCTTTCATTCCATTTACCAGGGAAACTGGCTTTCATTCCATTTACCAGCAAAACTGGCTTTCATTCCATTTGCCAGGGAAACCATGCCTTTTTCGTGTGGGAAACTCCCATCCATTTTTTCTTGAAAGGACCCCCTGGCGCCATTCCTCCCCATGGTTTTTTGGCTCCGATGCTTCCGATCCCGATGCTTCGATCGCTGCTCCCGCTGCTTCCGATCCCGATGCTTCGATCGCTGCTCCCGCTGCTTCCGACCGATCGCTTCAGGCGTGGTCTTGGGCAAGGGCAGCTTCAGCGAGGTGCGGCTCGGGGTGCGGGTGCGCGACGGGCGGAAGCACGCGGTGAAGGTGGTGAGCCGCCGCGTCTTCGAGAAGTTTCAGAGCTCCCGGAAGAGCCGGCGCCTTTGCTTTGGTGCATTTTGCCAAGGGCTGTTAGGACTTTAACTAAACCACCAAAAGTTAAACTTTTAGCAGGGGAGCAGAAAGCAACCGAGTTTGGTATATTTTCCAGGGAGGTGCCCCGAAAAAGAGGGGGGTGAAAAAAGAGCAACAAAGAAAGTATCCAGGCAATTTATCCACCCTTTTCCCCCTGCACCCCCCCCAACAGAAGAAAAAAAAGAAAGAAAGGAGGAGAAATCCAGACTTGGTGGCAAGCCCAGCCATGCGGTTCCTCTGTTTATTTTTTTTGGCTTTTTGGTATCTAGAGGGGATTTCCATTTAACCCACTGAAAGTTTAACTTTTAGCGGGGGTTCAGAAAACGGACAGCCCAGACAATCTAAAGAAAAGCAGCACATCCGCGCAAAGCGCGGCCCAAAAGCGGTCTGTCCTGGTCCCTGGCATTTTTTTGGCCGGGTGGAGGTAGGGGCTCAGGGTCTAATTTCGTTGATAGGCTTTCTATTCCTACGGGTCGTGAAAGGCCGTACCGTGGCCTGTTTTCCTTTGCGTGACATTGGCCTTTTGGCCATCCGGTGAAAAACTTGTTGCGCACATGTTGCGCCACTGTGGGGGTGAATGGGTCACCGATCTCATTTGTGCTACTGTGGATGGACGAAATCCTGCACCATCTAAGAAACCCTGGAATGATGATTCCCCTGTAAATACCAAACAACCATGGTTTCCCATGGTTTCAAAGTGGTGCAGGATTTCGTGCATCCACAGTAGGATTGCTTGTGCCACGACTTTTGCAGTTTGTTTCTGAGCAGAGTGACGGCCAGGCTTATCTCAACTCTCACGCCTTCACACCGGGATCATGTTTTTTTTTTTTTTTTTGGGTGGAAGACCATCTGAGTGAACCAAGCACTTCAATCACTCCCTCAGCTCCCAGAAGGCCTCTGTTAATGGAACCAAGTCTTCCAAAGGGGTCCTGGGAGCTTCCATGTTAGCCTGGGGGAGGATATTGGGCTGAGGAGTGGTGGACCCTGCTTTTAAACAATCACTTAGTTTGTAGAGGCCAGCTGCAGCAGACTGTCTTGATGTTTCATTGACGTTTGCTTCCCTTGATTCGCAACGTTTTGCTCACGGCAAGATGGCATCATTAAATTAATTCGGTGCAATACCTGGCACAAGGTCATCCCTCAAGGATGATCCATGCTCATCTATGTCCGACTGGGACCTTATCACCCCTTTCCCCAAACGAATGATGTGAACTTCACGTACTTGGGCCTCGGTGTTCTTTCGGACCGCATGTTGAAGTGACCCTTCGCTGCGGCAAGTTCTGTCAGCTTAACCCCGGCTTGAAAGGATGGTTGGTGCTGGCTCCGAGACGGTTTCCTTTGTTCGGTTTGGCTGCCGGAAGAAGCGAAGCGATTCGGCTTTCTCTCGACTAGCGGTGAGGTTGTCTTTGGTGCACGAAGCGGAACTCCTGAAGAGCCTGGACCATCCTCACATTGTGAAATGCGTCGAGTGGTTTCAGACCCACTCAAGCCTCTATCTGGTTATGGAGCTGGTGGACGGGGGAGACTTGTTGCACAACATCCTCTCAGGCCGGCAACAAGAGCTCCGTTTTCCCCCCATTGTCCATGCAGGGAAGAATGCGACCTCCAGTCCGTCCTGCCTCAAAAATGTGCCCCGCCTCCCCTCCCTCGCCACCCGACCCGGGCATCCGGCGTGGGCAGTATTCTTTTGAGGCCGGTTCTCCTTCATCTCAGGCGATGTGCATGCCACCTGCTCCCCAAACATGCCCAAACCAGGGGCCCCAACAGGGGGGATCTGATTCAGAGCGACCTGGATCTAGTCAGGTCAGCTGATATTGCACACTTGCGGCAAGCGCAAGCCCCGCGTAAGTGCTAGCAGCCTGAGCAATCTTAGCCACGCTTCCTTACGCGTGGCAAAGAAGCGCTTGTGTTCGTTGCATGCTGTGTGTTTGCGTGCTTTCTTCGAAGAGATATGGCCGTGGGTCAAAAAAAGGTACCCAAAATGGCACCCTGGTAAATGGAAACAATGACTAAAGCCTGTGGTTTGCTGGTGGTTTAATTTTTGACCCATACCCTTAAATGGTTTGCAGTGTTTCTTTGTTTTATGGGGGCTGGGGGGGGAGGAGCGGGGGAGGGAGCCCACATAAGCCCACATATCTCGGCCGATTCAGGTTCGCGCACTCGCGCACTCGCAAGTCGCGAGGCGGCGCTTTTGCGGAGGAGGACGCGCAGCGGCTGTTTCGGCCCATCTGCGAGGCTGTGGCCTACCTGCACGAGAAGGAGGTGGTGCACAGAGACCTGAAGCCGGACAACGTGTTGCTCACAGAGAAAGACAGGCGAGTGAGCCAAATGTGGGGGAGAGTGGGGCACCAGAACGCCATGCGTCTGCCCACATGTACAAGCCATAGCGTGCTCCAACGATGAGGGGAGATGTGGGTGAAACCTAGGGCAAGCCCAAAAATATCTTCACCCATAGCCCTCATATTTCTCATATTTCTCATATTTCTCATAGGCATTTTCTCATATTTCTCTCGTCCGAATGCAGGGCCAAGTGCCTGCCAAAGATCGCAGACCTGGGCGTGGCCTGGAAAAGTGCCGGGTCCGAAGACTCGCGGACGCTGTGCGGCACCCCCCACTACTTCGCCCCGGAGGCCCCAGCGAAGCGGCGAAGCGGAATCGACGGTATGGGAAGATGTGGGAAGGGGGCGGCACGAGTGCAAACCTACCCTTCCATTTGGGTTAAGAATAGTTTTTATTTTCCCATGTTGGTGTTAAAGGGAATCTATCACTACTGGAAATATGTGGTTTTGTTCCTCCAGGGGACTTCAGCAAATGGAGGTACCCACTTCTTGAGTTATTTTACTTGTTCCCAAGCCGTGCCCCTTTGCAGAGGCCGTGTCCAGTTTTGTTGGAGTTCTCAAGGGGCCAAGGAATCGGCAAGCTCGTTGGGTAGGTTTTGATGATTCTTATATGACAATGAATATAAAATTTATGGAATTCGTTTTATGGGCCTTTAAAGACTTATATTTAAAAAAGGCTTTAAGGATCGGCGCAGGTGATCAATGCTAAGCATGGTGGCTATGGGAAGAAGGTGGACGTGTGGAGCTTAGGCGTGGTGTTGCGGCTCGGCAAGAACCGGAGCACATGAGCCACGTGCTCAAAACCCGGGTAGATGACGGTTAGTAAGGGACAATCCCAATCATCATAAATAGCTGCGGCGCCTTCTTAATTCTTCTGGGTCGACCATTTTAGTACCGGGTTTTGAGCAAGTGACTCACATGGAGCTTGCCCCTGAGAAAAACCGAAAGTCTACCTCCCATCGACTTGTGTGAAGCCTAAAGGCCTAAAGGGGAAAGGCCACAAAGCCGGAAAAGCCGGAAGATCAGGTGAGGTTGCTGAAGAAATGCGCGAACCCAAACCTCCGGCCAGAACTGCAAAGACTTATTCACGCTCCAATCCACTATTTTTGGGTTGGTGGTACATTAAAGGAAAGAAGCCTTCAGGTTGAAAAACAAACAAAGCTTGGGGCCCTAACAAAAGAAACACCTTTTTTGCCTACGAGAAGAAGCTCATGCGGGCGACTCCCCCAGACTTCGAGCGCGTGGCGTGTTAGCTCTTCATCGCATCCCGGTGAGCAGATCGCCAAAGCGCGACCGGACTCAGACAACGTTGCTTTGAAAGAAACGACACGCAGCTTGCGTGCTATTGGCTTGGACCTTTAGACTGGAAAACTTTTTGGAAAGTAAAGGTGTTTTCCACCAAACCCCCAAAAAGTATTTAAAAAAAGTAAAAATAAAATAATAAAATCCAGGGGGGTCAACAGCAAACCCCCAAAGAGTTAAACACTTTTTGCAGGGGGGTCGTAGGTCTCAGGTCCCTAAGGTACGTCCTGCTGAGCGGCACGCCGCCCTTCGAGGATGAATGGCTCTACGAGCAGATTGTGCAGGGGAAGCTCGGCGCGTTTGGGCAACCGGATCTTTGGACTTTTTAACTTATTGGTTGAAATATTGGGGTGTTTGTTTTTCACATTTTAGCCCCAACAAGTGTTTTTTTTTTTTTTTAAATATATAAAAATGCAGGGGGGTCAACAGCAAGCCTCATATTTCCTTTTAACCAGCAAAAAGTTATTCACTTTTTGCTGGGGGATCTAGAGCACCCAAGGAAGTACGAGTTCGACGCCGAGGAGTGGGAGCAAGTCTCAGCCTCCGCGAAGGACCTTCGATCTCGATCGAGATACGAAGGTCGGGGCACCCTTAAAAAAAAAAGACAGTAAAGTAATTGGAGGGGTAAAAAAACAACAAGAACACAACAACCAACAAAAACACAGTTTAGTAATTGCAGGGGGAACGCCCCTCCAACAGTGGTTTGATCCCAACTATTCCCAGGGACCCCCCCCCCTATTAAGACAAAACTGGGTTTCATCTCATGTTCATCGGATGCCCCCCCCTCGGATCCCCCCGTTTTTTGGTCGGTGTTGGAATCGATTTGTGTGTTTAAGGGGCAGCCTTCGTGAGCGAACGTCGAGCCTGATTCTTCAGTGTAGAATGGAAGCATCGGTCGGTTTGTAGCCCTTGGGATCCGGCTGGCTGTGCCGTGAGTGGTTTTGGTCCCTGGTAATTTCAACAAACCAGTATCGGAGCACTGGGCACCCGTTCGAATTTGTCCATATGGCACGAGCTCCAGCCATGGCACGTGTCGACATAAGCTTTTGAGTTGCTCCGTTTCGTGGCTGGGATGTTCGAAGCGAGCAGAAGGACTCCCTCACAAACCTCTCAGAGGTCGTGACACGTGCAATGGCTGGAACTCGTGCCATATGGACAAATTTGTGCTGGTTTGAGTGGGGAAATGATGTTGGATCCAACTTCTGTCAGTTGTTCAAGATATCATTTGGCAGCTTTTCATTCAAAAGGGAAGGGAGCCCCAGGGAACTTCAAGGTATTTGCACTCCATGCCTGGAGCCACATCAGTTCAAACCCTTGCGCCAAGTTTTGAGAAAGTGACTTACCAGCAGCAAGACTCCAGGCACGTCACTGCATATTTGCTCAGCGAATCCGAAAGCAGCCTCAGGCTTAAGGGTGACGGGAGAATCTGTTGACTCAGTCCACAGCCAATCGACCTAGGCACCTTTGCGTTTTTTCCCTTTTTGGGAACCATTTCAGAAATGGCCTCAAACAACTCCACCCTCTCCAACACACCTCAACCCCCCACTTCAAGCATCTCAACCCCCCACTTCAATCATCTCAACCCCCCACTTCAATCATCTCAACCCCCCACTTCAAGCAGCTCAACCCCCCACTTCAAGCAGCTCAACCCCCCAAAATAGGGGGGCTGGCCAGGATTTTGGGCCCCAGGATCTGGTGCGATGCCTGATGACGGTGGATCCCAACCAGCGGCCCTGCATCGGTGAAGCCTTGAAGCATCCCTGGCAGCGGCTGGAGGGGGAAAACCAAAATCCGCGTCGCGGTCCGGGCGAAGGTGGCCAGGGGTTTTACTCAAAATCCAAATCGGTTGGCCAAATCGAACCTCCGATTCAATCCAACCACTAAAATAGGAAGCCTAAAATGGGTGGTGAATTCACCGAAAGCCCCAGAATGGGGTCCCATTGGTTTTTGACCAACGGCCATATCTCAGCGGGTCGCCCCTGAAACAGGAGGTTGCTTTCCTGTGGTGTTGTGGATTTCCTTTGACCTTCAAATGCGGCTTCGCTCAAATCAATCCACGCAGTTTTACCTTTTCTTTTTGGAGGTGGGATGGAAGGCAAGTGAAACTGGCCAGTTTGCGCATCTCCCTTCCTTCTGCAGTTTTAAGATGCTGGCGCTTTGGGAGCTTAGCAAGCTAAAGATCATATTTAGTCAAAGGTGATACTAAAGGTCGATGGCCTTTGAGAGACTTGATTTCGGTTTCCATCTAATTCCTCTTAAGCCAATTCCAGGAAGGATGCCGAGCCTGGAGGCTACCGAACCGGGATTCGTCCGAGGCCGGTCCTCGACTATGCCGCGAAGAGGTACGCCTCTGCCGCCGCCTCTTGGTTGAACATGGGATTGATTGGATTGGGGGTGGGGGCGTGAAGGTTTCGTTCTGGTCTTTTGTTTGGGGAGGGGAAGCCTTTAGCGAGGCATCAGGGCCATTTTTTGCCTTCGGAACTGAAGAGTAGTACACGAGATCCTGAGGTCTGAAGTAAAAATGAGAATAGAAGCGACTTCACAGCCTTTTGAAATAATTAGATGAAGAGAACGCCGCATCATACGAGTAACACCGCTATGTACGATTGCGATAAGGTAAGCAAAGCTAAGTCATGAGAATGCTTTGGATACCCCTTTTTACTAAGCACCTTCACCAAGAGGAATTATCTTCCATTCGTCCATTTGTTGTTGTAATAAACTGCCTATCTGATGTTCATGAACTAGTGACTACATGTTGTGGCCGCACATCAGGTTGCGTTATCATTGGTGTGTTGCGTTTCATGTATGTATATATATATATATACTGATTAAGTTTGTTGCATTGCGCTCTTGCTGGCGCAGGGATGCAATGAGCATGATAAAGAGAAAATCAACAACATGGCATGAACGTGACAGAGGCTTGAGAGACAAGGAAGCTTCTTCATCCAACACCCAATGTGGTGTTGGTGTTTTCAATTTCTCACCATCACTTAGAGACGTGAAGGTGAGACATGATAGCACAACCCCCCCCCCCTCCCCCCGGGCTCATGCAGACCGTGGGGGATGGGTGGGGATGGGAAGGGACAGTCATGAGCATATGATCCCCGCCTTACCTCGCCATTTCTTTCCATTCTTGCTCTAGTTTCTCGCCACCCGGGAAGGGAGAGAGAATGGGAAAGGGAACAGGAACCTTGGCTTCTTATTTGCCAACATCTCAGTTGAAACGCAACAGACACTTAGCGGTCAGCTTGGAAGGTCTTGGGGCAAAGCCGGCGAGGAAGGCCTCAGTAGCATCCTAGATCCCAAGGCAGTTTTTGCGTGGAGCGGGGTGGTCTGGGTTGGGTTGGTTGGGGTTGGTTGGGGTTGGGGTTCGGTTGGTTGGGGTTGGGGTTCGGTTGGGTGGGGTGGGGTGGGACAGCGATTGGCGCCTTTCATGGCTCATGGCAGGCAAGCAGCGTGCATACAGCGTGAGTTTCCGCTTGGCATGGCGCTTGTTCCACGCTGAGGGAATCGAATCCATGCGTCGCAGTGCCCCAAGGCAGCCCATTCATCGCAACTCACTGAGCTTGTGCCATGAGCTTGGGCATGCCAGCTTGTGGATGTTCATGTGGTCCCCCATCGCCGACAAGCCAAGAACGCGCCCCTTCCGGCCCTTCTAAGTGTAGGAAGGGCGCCGCAGCTTTTTTTCCACGTGCGGCAAAGAACATAAGGCCCAGAGCCGCTTTTGGCCTCTGGTTGTGGCCTGCTTTGGTGGTCTCCATGAGGCAAGGAACCGCTTTCGCAGCCGACCTCAGGTGAAAAGTGGCAACTTTGAGGTGAGGCGCCCAGTGCTCGAGAGAGCGGCTGCGGATCACGGGGGTGAGGACCTGCCTCAGAGAGGAGCCAGAGGGTTGCGGGATTCAGGGGTTGGTCCCCACTGTGATACAACTTGGAATCTCCTGCTGGGTGGTTATTTTTTTTGGAAGCCCTTTCTGTTGTACAGAAGCGGATTCCATTTCCCAGAGCCCTGATCCGGAGACTGAGTTTTGATCACGTTCGACTGAGGTCGACGAGGCCTGCGCACTTGCGCATTCGTTGCTTTGGGCGGTAGATTTTCGGGGCGCGCAGTTGGTTCGTGTTGCAAGAGAGGAAGTCTAAAGCTTCCCTTGTGGGGAGCTGAAAAACGATGGCTAGCTCTCCGGAACGCATCGCGTAGCATGCCGCTGCTGAAGGCTGCTGAGCATCCTTTTGGAAACTGGTTGAATCTTGGGGTGTCCTTCAGGGAACTGCGCAACCAAGAGTTTTCCTCACCCACTTGGCTTTCTTTCCCAGAGCGCGGTTTCTGAGGATTTCTGGGGGCCCCGAACTGCCAGGATCCCTTGCCCCGGGGCTTTCCCATCTCCCCAACGGCACGCCTAACACGTGGCCGAGCAGAAAACGGAAGGCCATGGCAGGTTTCTGGCGACCGAAATTGCAGGGCCCCCGAAAGACCACGGCTTCTGCGGATTTCTGGACGGGCAACTCCTTGGGATCAGCTTGGCTCAGAGGGTTTAAGTGGCGGTGCGCGAGGTCCCTCAGGTTGCCCCGCAAGCGGCCAAACCGCGAGCCATCTTTCGTCCACCCGGAACGCCACCCGAGCGAACTCAATGGGTCTGGGAGTCTCACGGTTGCAGATCAGCCAAGGGGTCAACAGTTGGGAAGAATGAGGCATCCCCAAGACCAAAGACTTGCATTGCCGACTCTTGGCCCGGCTCTTGAGTGTCCCGAATCCTGCGGTGGAAGGCGAGTTCAGGAGATTGCCTGCTCATGAACTACCAGAGAAGAAAGCCCACGATGAAGCCCGCATATTTGCACGGCAGCTACCATGCCAACAAACATGCAAGAAGAAGATCTTCATGTAGATTTATATTTTTCTGTAATTATATGGCTGTGGGTCAAAACCAATGGGAGCCCATGTTGGGGTAGGTCATTTTCGAACCTGTTTTAATGGTTGGATTGGGATGTTCACTGGGGGGTAACCAAGATTTTGACCCATGGCCGTATATATATATATATATACATACACATACACACACACACATATATATATATATATATTTGCTCCGTTGCAGGCCCCTCTGGTGTCTGAGGGTGCAAGCTCCAGCCAGGCGGGGGCTTGGCATGTTCTTAGCCTAGCACGAGGTACCCTTGAGGATCTCAGAGGTTGATCCGGCCAATGCGGGCGATGGTTTTTTGTTTCTTAAACTTGTGACAGGCCTTGCTTATCTTACAGCTTTCAGGATTCAAGAGGCAGGTTTAGTCAGGGTGGTGGGTGGAAAAAAAATAAAGCCAGTCATTGCTATGACCTGGGCCGATCCCTGTGCTGAAAGCTGGGGCCTATCCGTATGCAGGCATTGGTGTCGCCCAACGCGGCGCAGGCGCGTCAAAATGGGGATCAGTGCCCGCATTCTCATGGAGGGTCATGGGTTGCCCCTTCTATGTGAGAGTCGGCTTGCGAGCCATGCTTGTTTTCATTGGCGTCAGTTCGTGGGTTGCCTAAAGTTCGAATTCCAGAAGCTCCGCGGAAGCACGGAAATCGCGGCAGAAGCTCGTTGAAGTCATTCACAGCAGGATTGGCTGTTGGACGCTTACATGTATAGTCTACGATGATGTATTTATTCAACGTGTTTTGCTTTGCTTTGCCAGCTTTCTAACCTGCAGCGCAGGAGCTTTGTGGAAGCTAGACAACCCCAGTGGTGCTGGTCAGCAAGCGAGCGAGCAAGCCAGCCAGCCAGCAAGCAAGCAAGCGCACAGAC